TATCGCTGTCGGATGAGTCAGTGTCCCTGCTCTGCAGATGTGGAACGGAGCGCCCTGCCTGGCGCCCTGCGAGCCAGCGACAGTGGGACCGGAGCCCTGCGTTACTTGGGTCCAGGCTGCTGCCCTAACCGCAGGATCGCCCTTTCCCTTTCCAGTCCTTTCTAGATTTTCTACACAATTTCCTCTTCAAGGTTTTTCAGGCAGTAGATAGCGTTACGTTATAATAAAGCAGATAAGGATCGGTCGCCTCTCTTGTTCTATTGGAGCGACTACGTACAGGCAAAACGCTGTGAATGCAGAAAACGGGAATTGGGAAATCTTGCTCCTCTGGCGGTGTGTCTGATTGCTTAAGCTGAGCAGGGAGCAGGGCGCAGCCTGTGCTTCAGCTGGAGGTGTCTCAGAATAATGGCACATAAAATTAGTTCAGGCTGAAAAATGATTCCTTCCAAGACAGCCCAAGCATGAAGGTGTCGGCTTTCTGTTAAGCCTTAAATATCATTAATAGTCCACAGGTCTTAGATGACACTTGAAACGAAAGCCTGGGTCCCGTTCCAGCTCTGCTTTGGTGACTGCGCTCCGATTCCCGTGTGACCCCTTGGTTTCAGCAGGCTGAGGTGTCCCGTGCCTCCCTTTCTCAGAAGAGCTCCTGGAGGGCGCTGAAAGAAAACGCACCCTGTGTCAACGGGGGGGCCGAATTGGGTCTTGGCTGCGCCATGGCCTGGTTCCCAGGGCTCCGAGGGCTTTGAGGACGGGGAGCGCCGAGGCAGGGGTTACCCAACTGCCCGTTCCAGTCACAGGTTTGTCATGGGAAATGATTCATGGGCCATTGCCAAGGCAACCAGGGAGCGTGTCAGAATACGCTACCGTACCTGGAGTTTGTGCCCCAAAAGAAAGCTTTTAGGAGTCGTACGTTTAGGAATTTAGGATTGTTAATTCATAGGAAGACTCCTACCTGGCCTGAAACATGGTCTCGTGCTCTGTGAAAACATAAGCTTTTCGTTACCGCCAGCAAGCCACTGGATTTTATTGCACAGCGTCTCATGGATCTTCATTTACTGGGTTTAGGCAAATATTTCGGTTGATTACAGCAATCCCTCCGCTCTGCGTGGATACACGCATAGCGTTACATCGGCACAGGAGGCAACTTCGGGGGGCTAAGTTCATTTCAGCTAATTAACTTGTGTGCGTTACGTTGCTGTCGTAGCTCTTGGCTTTCCCCACCCCGCACAGAAACCCCAGCGGGTTGCGATTTCGTCTGTGCCCTTTCTGTTGAGGAGCAGACAGACAGATCCGCAGGAGGAGCAGACAGACAGACAGATCCGCAGGAGGAGCAGACAGACAGACAGATCCGCAGGAGGAGCAGACAGACAGATCCGCAGGAGGAGCGCCTCAGCCAGGAGATGGCAGTGGAGCGGGTCGCTGCCTGCATCTGGAAGAAGCAAACGAGGTGGATGAAGGAAGGCAGCTTGCTCCTCTGACGGCGCTGACGCTGGAGCCCGTGCCCAAAGTAACGTACTGAATTAGGAGACGTTTCCAGTTTGCAGCTTGTTTTTAATGAATTGCTGATGTCCCTGATACCTCCGATTTTCACGTTGCTCTAGTTGCATTTCCCCAGCCAGAGCCACTGAACGCTCCAAGGCCGTGCTGTGGCTGCTGTGACTCTTCCCGGTGGCTCTGGCCAGCAGAATTGCCTGAGCTCGTTTATGAATTGCACGGAGACCCCGGAGAGTTTTGTTCTCGAGTGTTTTCTAAATATGCTCAGCAACTTGAGGCTGCAGCGAGAGATTTGTCACCTCGGTCGGCCTCTTTAGAAACCGTTGCGATGACTGGTGTCAGTTGTTAGGCCGGACGACTGGCGAGGAGGAGGAGGAGGGTTTTTAGGCTTGGTTTCTGACAAAGCAGGCAGGGATCGAGCAGGGTTTCCAGCCGAACGAGTGCGGTGCGCGTTACCAAGCGGGCTGCGGTGCCGGGGCATGGTGTGCTCTTCCCCGGCGCAGTGCTGTGAGAGCGGCCGGTGCCGCTGACCTGCAGCGTGGGAGGTGGTTGGCGTTACCCGTGCGTCTCTCGCGCCGCTTCAGCAGAAGCTTATCCCACCTGATAAAAAGCCCTGTCCTGTGCCTGTGCTCCCTGCTTTCTGCGTGTTCTGTAGAGCAGAACATATAAAATACTTGCACTGCTGATGAGTGGTGACCCTTACCTCTCCTCTAGTGCGTCCTCGTCTCTTCCTTAGTGACTTTTAGCATTAAATATAAAACCTGAAGCCCATGAGAAGCTTGGGGAGACCTCGGCTCGGGCCGGTGCACCCTGTGCTGAGCAGAGCTGGCCAGCGCTTTGTCCGGTGGCCCGACTGCAGGAGATGCCTGGGTGGAATGAAATGAATGGAGTTTGCTGTCTTGCTGCTTGTTAGTTCTTGAGGTTTTCTGTGATATTGACCATATAAATATTATTCGGCCCCTGAAAATGGCCATAAAAGAAGTGCTGTGTGTTCGAGAACACTGTGGTGAGGAGATGGCGCGAGGTGAGCGGCTCTACCTGAAGTTCCCTCGGCCGTGTGCCTCGAGGCCTGAGCGACAGGGATGTGCCCCCCTCCTGGGTACAGGCAAGCTTCAGTTTTACTCTGAGTGTCCCCAAAATACATGTGGCAGACCAAGGAGGTCTGGCACAGGCGGCCAGATTGATTTCATGGGGGGCACTGAACTGACCCCAGCCTCTCTTGTGTGCTGCGGGATGGAAATAAAGCAAGGGGGGTGGGGTGGGGTGGGACAGACGGACAGACAGATGGCTACGTGGGCATTGTGGGCTTAGGGTTGCTTATGTGGTGGTGCAATCCACTCGGTGGTGAAAAAACCAGGAGAAACTTGGAGCAGAGCGTGCTTGTGTGTGTGTTACACCCGTGGTGGGGATTCGGCGCGTTCCGAGGAGCCTGCCGGTCTGCTCGGGGGTTGCCAGGAGCTGGGTCAGCCCAGTGCGGAAAGCGCTGTCCTCGCTTGCTCTCCGGGGTTCTCAACAGTGGAAAATCACTGGGATACAGGATCACCCTTGCCAAACTCCTCCGTCTGTGATGTTTCTGGAATGATCTTTGCCCTGCTGCCTTTCAGTGGGATGGAGACAGAAGGCAGCGGAGAATTTGCCCTTTTGAGTTGCCCACTGGCCTTGCACCCGCGAACGCCGACTCCTGTGCTGGCAGGAGCTGGTCGAACTCCGCGGGGGGTGATGCCAAGGGGGAAAGGGCAGAGCCCGGGCTGTGTCAGAGCGCCAGCACGGCTCAGACTAAACAGATGATAAAACATTTCCTTGATAACCAGGGCGGTTTCTCAGGAGGGGCCGGGGCCTGCAGGCGCGTGTGGGTACGCAAAGGTCGCCGTCCCGGAGTGGGGGGGAGCAAGGGCTGTTCAGAGCGGGCTCGGAATAGCGACGCTTTGCCTGCAGAAATGCTCCGAGCTCTGCTCCTGGCTGGGGCTGGCGCCGAATTTTGCCGAACGAGGAAAATGTTGGGAGTGTTGGGGGCTACGGCTTGAGCGCTCGGACTACGTGGCGTTCCCCGGCCCGGCGGCGGGCAGCCCGTGTCCTGCCCAGGGAGGGAGCAGAAACCCTTGGGTTCGCAGCCCTGCGCCTGCTGATTGCCCCCTTCCATTCTGGGACACCGCTCATTAAAAAGGCGAACCCCGGCCTCTGGGGTTTTGAGGCCGCGCTGCCGCCTGCCCTCCCTGCCCACACCCTCCGCCTCCAGCCTTTGAACAAGCTCCCTCCTTTCGCTGGCGCAGGCGCCCCCCCGGCCGCCGGGGC